TATATATATATATATATATATATATATATATATATATATATATATATCTCCAAAATATGCTCAGGTATACAACAAAGACATTTGCATAGCCAAAACCTGGAAATGACTCAGATATCTCTCAAAAGAGGAATGGATACAGATATTGTGGTATATTTACACAATGGAATACTACTCAGCTATTAAAAACAAGGAAATCAGAGGCCCTCTGTGGCAGGTTCCTAACTTGTTTCCTGTTTTCTTCTTCTTCTGATGTCCATCCTCTTTGCCTTTTGGGATAGGGATTGAGCATTTTAGTTAGAGTCCTTCCTCTTGATCAGTTTCTTTAGGTGTACAGATTTTAGTAGGTTTATCCTATATTATATGTCTATTATGAGTGAGTATATACTGTGTGTGTCTTTCTGCTTCTGGGATAGCTCACTCAGGATGATCCTTTCCAGTTCCCACCATTTACCTGCAAATTTCATGATTTCCTTATTTTTCATTGCTGAGTAATATTCCATTGTGTAGATATACCACAATTTCTTTATCCATTCTTCAGTCGAGGGGCATCTGGATTGTTTCCAGCTTCTGGCTAGTACAAATAAACCTGCTACAAACATGGTTGAGCAAATGTCCTTATTGTGCCCTGCAGACTATCAAAGCAGATGCTGAGCCTGATGGCCAACTGTTGGGCAGAGTGCATGGAATCTTATGAAAGAAGTGGGAAACAGTAAGATCTGGAGAGGACAGGAACTCCATAAGGAGAGCAACAAAACCAGAAAATTTGAACACAGGGGTCTTTCCAGAGATTCATACTCCAACCAAGTAACAAGCATGGAGATAACCTAGAACCCTTGCACAGATGTAGACCATGGTAGTTTAGTGTCCAAGTGGGTTACATAGTAATGGGAACAGGGACTGCCTCTGACATAAACTGATTGGTCTGCTATTTGATGACCTCCCCCTGAGGGGGAGCAGCCTTACCGGGCCACAGAAGATTACAATGCAGCCACTCCTGATGAGTTCTGATAGACTAGGATCAGAAGGAAGGAGAGGGGGACCTCCCATATCAGTGGACTTGGGGAGGGGCACGCATGAAAATGGGGGAGGGAGAGTGAGATTAGGAAGGGAGGAGGGAGGGGTTTATGGGGGGATACAAAGTTAATAAAGTGTAATTAATAAAGTTTAAAAATTGCTAAAAAAAAAAAACCAAGGAAATCATGAAATTTACAGGCATATTGTGGGAATTAGGAAAAATCAGCCTAAGTGAGGTATCCCAGAATCAAAAGACACACATCATATATACTCACTAATAAGTGGATATTAGACATGTAATATTTGATAAATATACTAAAATCTGTACACCTAAAGAAGCTAAGCAAAAAGGAGGGACCTGGGTAAGATCATCAATCCTCATTCAGAAATGCAAACAGGTAAAACACTGGAAGAGTGAGAAAACAGGGAACAAGACAGGAGCCTACAATAGAGGGCCTCTGAAATAATCTACCCAGCAGGGTAATGAAGCAGATGCTTAGGCTAATAGCCAAATGTTGTGCAGATTGCAGGGACTCTTATGAAAGAAGTGGGAGATAAAAGACCTGTTTTATTTTTGTCTTTTCTCCTGAAGATTTTCCTTTGACCCCTTTAAAGCATAATGTGTAGAGAAAAGAGCTATTGTTTGTTCAACCAGCTCCCCAGCTCAGATGTAGGCCACAGACTCATTCTCCAAGTGTGTTCCCTTGTAAGGCCAGCAGGGACTTTCTCTGATATGAACTCAGTGGAAGGTTCTCTGATTACCTCCCCCACTGGGGTGCCACCCACAGGACACAGAGGAAGACAATGCAGCCAGTCCTGAAGAGACCTGATAGGCTACAGTCAGATGGAAGGGGAGGGGCATAGAGGGAGGAGAAGAAGAAGGGAGGGTGGGTATGGGAAGAGACAAGGGAGGTGTCCAGAGCCAAGATACAAAGTTAATAAATTGTAATAAATAAAAAGAATTAATAAAACAATTTATTCAGAACATCCCCCAGAGATCTGTACTGTCTTTTCAGTTGGCCCTCCCACATAGAGCAATCACCAGCCAGCATCTAGAAAACATTCTAGGTCTACCTGTATCCTCATAAACCCCGAGCCTGTTTTTCCCCGAGTGACAGACTTTATTGTTGTTTTTGGTGGGCCAGTAAAGTGTAAATTGCAAGTAATGTTTTTTTTTTTTCCTTATGACACTTTTAGACCAAAGTTTTGACAAAATGTGGCCTTGTGCTTCATAATCATGGGCAGATGAGGAAATGAATTTAATTTGAGTTTTCTAGTCATCAGAGCCCTGTGTGTGTGTGTGTGTTTTTTTTAATATTATTTCTGTTACTTCTTATCTGACCTGTTTTGCTTTTCAAAATTTCCAGGAAGTCCTTTAATTTCCCTGTATACTTCAAGGTCTGAGGCTCTGATGTATCAATAACCACTGCAATCCCAATCTTGTAAATACTGTCATCTTACCATGAGCTTGCTTTCTAGACTCTACAGTGCTAGCACTGACCACTTGTTCCATAGGTGGTCTTCTCTGGTGAGCTCCTGTTGAAGGCTCCTGTGCTTCTGTTGTTGTCTGTATCTAGTCTTTTTATTGGGCAGAGGGCGGGACTTGGAGGGTTTGGGTCGGCAGTGGTTGTGCAGCGTTGGCTACTGTTCCCAGGAAAGTGTTATTGAGTGCAGAATTTGTCCTGGTTGCTGCTTCCTGCTCATCACAATATTGAAGTGAATGACAGTGTATAGCAACCTTGAGAATGTCTGAGCATCTGCTTGGTGTGTCTCTTCACATGTTACTAATCTTAAAAAAAAATGTAGGAGTAAAATTACCCTGTTGATAATAGGCTATGCTCGTAAGTTGCTCTCTTACTCAGGTAGCATCTGAGAGGCTTCCTCCTGTAGTAAACGGGAACTAATTCAGGACCTATAGGCAGATATTACACTTAGATAGAATCTTTGGTATACATAGCTCAACATGAGATGTTTTCTTTAAATTCCTCCCCTAACAGCCTAAGGAAATTCTTAGAAGAAGACAAAGAGGAGTCAGGGAAACAGATGGGACGGAGAACACTATGGGATCATAGTCCTTAATAACAACTGAAAAAAGCTCATATGAACTCACAGGGACTGAAGCAGCAATCACGGGCCCTACACATGTCTTTTCTAGGCCATCTGCATATATACTATAGCTTTCAAAAAAGTACTTTTACAAGACTCCTGAAGATAGAAATGTCTGGGTCTCTGATTCTTGTGCCTTCTCTTGGTGCTCTTTAATTTTTCTGTTGCCTAACTTGTCCAACTTCAAAATGGTGGTTTTAATTTAATTTGTTATATTTAATTTTGTTAAAATTAAGAAATTAAAAAATATAATATCCCTTTTTTTTGCTATATTTTACCTTTCTTTTTATTGATTTTATATTTTGCCTCATTTTCTGAGAATGCAAGTGTTCCTGTTTTCCAATTTTTTCATTTTAATTTTATTGTATGTGTTCTTTGACAATTTCATATATATGTATATATATGTGTGTGTGTGTTATAGTTTGTCTAACACCTCTTACCCTCTCCTACTTCTATTTTAACTCTTTGACATCCTCCCACCTTCCATACATTTCTTACATTCATGTCCTTATGTTTGTCACCCACTCACTTAATGTAGTCTGTGAGAATGCTGGTTTGGAACTGTCCAGTGGAGTGTGTTGGGATCCTGTATGAGTCTTCTACTGAAAAAAACATGATTCATCCTTCCTCGGAATCCACTAGTAAGGCAACAGTGTAGCAAGGTAGGGCAGAAGGTGTTATGACCCATCCTTGATATATCCCTGACCAGTGCCCAGCCCATTCTTGTACAGGCCCAATGAAAGCAACCTCAACTGCTTCGGGTCATGATTGAAATGAGTGTGCATGAACAGAAGATAACATTTGAATTCGATCTCTGCTTCTTATAACGCTGTGTCTGTTGTTTCAAAATGTCCCCTGAGCCCTATAGGAGATGGTATAAATGTGTTGTTCAGCGTTGTGCATCCAGCCCT